TTTCTACAATTGGGGTGGCTTTTCTGGTGGCAAATTTGTTGAAAGCATATAAAAGCAAAAGTATTAGGCAGGACAGCTGGGTAGGCGATAAAGCTGAGACAAGCAATAGACAGAAAATAAAACCTGCATAGGAAAACAATGGAAAAGAGATACACTGGGAAATACGGGCTTTTTAAAAGCTCTGTGTGCACTGGGAAATCAAGAAGCCGACATGTATACCCAGGGCTGGATGAATGTTCAGAAAAGGTCTGAGATGATCCTGATCATTCACTTTTGGCTGACTTTCAGGTCTGAGCAAGAAGGAAATGAAGGCTAAGGCAGAGTTTTAAATAGCCTGGCTAAGCATTAAAGGAGTGCCACACAGGTCCAATGGCAAAAAACTGAGAGAGTATTTTTTTCTTACATTTTTTTTTTCTGTTTCTTGGCTTCAGATGTTTAAGGAAACTCTGTCATAATACTAGCTGATTATTACTAAGCTAATGGATCACTGACTTCAGGGGCTATACACAAAAGACTTTATTTTAAATAGGAAAAACATTATACTTAGAAGTTAAGTAACAAGCAAGTCACATGGTGATTCTAATCCAGATAGTATGGTTCTGAGGCATGTGCTTTTAACTTTGTATGCTAAAGCTACATGTACAAAATTGTGCTAAAATCCAGAATTGAGTCTAGGTTTTGTGGAGCCTGAGGGTATACTATTTGAAAGCCCCCTTTTATGAAAAAAAGTAGAAAATATACAAAAAAATAAAAAGGGCCTTAAGGGCAGTGCTCGTGGTTCAGTGAATAGGGCACTGGCCCCATATACCAAGGGTGGCGGGTTTGAACCTGGCCCTGGCCAAATTACAACGACAACAACAACAACAACAAAAATAGCTGGGTGTTGTGGCAGAGGCCTGTAGTCCAAGCTACCCAGGAGGCTGAGGCAAGAGAATGGCTTAAGCCCAAGAGCTGGGGGTTGCTGTGAGCTGTGACGCCATAGTACTCTACCAAGGGCAACAAAGTAAAATTCTGTCTCTTAAAAAAAAGGGGGGCCTAAAAAGGGACTAATGCAAGTGTTTGGTCTTCATTAGCTTAACAGTTAATCCACCTCTGCTAAACACATCTAAAGAATGACTTAAAATTATGCAAGTTCACTAAAGCACAATGAGTATGATAGCAACTGCTAATACTATACAGTTTTCTTTTTTTTTTTTTAAGTGGGATAGACTTTAGTCCATATGCTTTGGAAAGATTTCAAGATCTTCAGATTTGATGTCAACAGCAACACTCTAAACCCTAATCATTTTAGTTGCTATTATATACTAACTTTTATAATGACTTATATCCTACCCAAACATAAAATACAGATAAGTCTTCTGTTTAAGTGATTGTGCCTAGTTGTGTGAAACTCTGAACAAATGACAATCTATGCTTTAATTTGTTTAGCCAGTACCTACATCACAGATTGTTTTGAGGATTAAATACATGTAAATCATTTCAAATGGTAGCCGACACATAGCAAGCAATTAAATATTAGCAATGACTATTTTTACTTAAACTTATTATGTAATTAGGCTATTATTATATCACAAAATTCTTTTAAATTTTTGCATATAAAATTAACTGCTCTACGTTTCATTTTAAATTGTTAGAATTAGAAGAACTATACCTTTTTAGCAACACCATACACGTACAGGGTAAGTAGGACAAAGGCAATGCTATGTGTTCTCCACTAGTTTTTCTCTTCTTGGTCACAGAGGAAAAATAAAGTGTCCTAGCCTTCCTTACAGCTAGATTAGGATCATGTAACTGAATTCTGGCAAATAAGAACGTGAGTGGAAGTGATTTGTCACTTCTGCTCTAACTTAATTATAGGCTAGTGTTTCTTCCATCTTTCCTCCTCTGCCTTGAAAACCTGGAAGTCATTTGTTCCTGCTGGGACAGCAACAAGGTAGAAGTGGCTGGATCCCTGAATCATTCCTGGGAAGAGAACTGATTGATGACTGATTGAATTAGACTTGAACAAGAAATAAACTTTTATTAAGTCATTGTAACTTCAGAGTTCCTTTGTAACTATAGCATAGTCCAACTTATGTTATAAAACAATGTGGAATTCCTGTCTCTGAAAGTAATGCAGGAAACTGACTACCTAGAGAATAATAAAATTATTTTCTTAAATATGTCAAAATTCTTCCATATTATGTCATACTTCTGAAATATTTATCAATGGTAATGCTTTCAAGGAGGGGGAAGGAATAGATATTCTTGAACTTCATAATTTTTTTTTTTTTTGAGACAGAGCCTCAAGCTGTGCCCCTGGGCAGAGTGCCATGGCATTACAGCTCACAGCAACCTCCAACTCCTGGGCTCAAGCGAGTCTCCTGCCTCCGCCTCCCAAGTAGCTGGGACCATAG